CTGAGCCCGCGGGTTTGAGACCCGCCTGGGCAACTTGACAAGACCTCATCTCTACAATAAATCAAAAAATTAGCCATGCGTGGTAGCGTGCACCTGTAGTTCCAGCTACTTGGAAGGTTGAGGTGGAAGGATAGTCGGAGCCCAGCAGGTCGAGGCTGCGGTGGCCGGGAGCAGCCACTGCACTCCAGTCTGGGTGACAGAGTGAGACTGCAACGCTAAATAAATAAATAAATAAATAAAAATTTAAAAAATAAAAAATAAACTATCAAGGTCATCAAAACAAGGGAAGTCTGAGAAACTGTCACAGTCTGAAGAAAACAAGGAGACATGATAGGTATCTCAGATGGGATCCTGAAACAGAATGAGAACATAGCTGGGCTTGGTGGCCCAGCCTGTAATCCCAGAGCTTTGGGAGGCCGAGGTGAGTGAATTGCCTGAGCCCACGGGTTCGAGACCCGCCTGGGCAACTTGGCGAGACCTCATCTTTACAATACATTTTTAAAAATTAGCCGGGCGTGGTAGCGCACACCTGTAGTTCCGGCTACTTGGAAGGCTGAGGCAGAAGGATCGCCGGAGCCCAGCAGGTCGAGGCTGCGGTGACTAGGAACGTGCCACTGCACTCCAGTCTGGGCGACAGAGTGAGACTCCAACTCAAAAAAAAAAAAGAAAGAAAGAGGACATTAGGAAAAAACAAAGGAAATATGAATAAACTATGGGTATTAGTTAATTATAATGTACAGTAAGTCTCCTACATATGAATGAGTTCCATTCAGAGAGCTCGTTCATAAGTCCAATTTGTTCATAATTCCAACAAAGTTAACCAAGTTACCCAACTAACACAATTAGTTATATAATATCGTACTGTAATAGGTTTATAATACTTTTCACACATAAAATCCATAATACATAATATATACATAATACATATAATACATAATATTCAAGCAAACTCAAAAAATAAAGAAAACATTTTTAATCTTACAGTACAGCATGTGACAATGTACACCAGACACATGAACTAACTTAAGTGATTGGACATGCAAACACACATTTGCATCTTTGAAAGTTTGAAGTGTGACCATTCATATGTAGGGGACTTACTGTATCAGTATTGGTTTATTAATTGTGACAAATATACCATACTAAAGTAAAATGATGGCATTAGAAGAAGTTGGCCATGGAATATACAAGAACTCTCTATATCATTTTTGCAAATTTTCTTTACATTGAAAATTATTGTGAGATAAAAATGTTTCTACAAGAGTTAACAATAATATATAGTTCCAAATAGCTAGAAGGAGGATATTGAAAGTTTCTGATACAAAGAAATGATAAATGTTGAGATAACAAATATACTAATTACCCTGATCTGATCACTACACATTATATATACCAGAACATCACTATGTACCCCATAAATATGTATAATTATATGTCAATTTAAAAAATTAATTTCACCACCTTCTTCTTTTGTAATGTGGATACTAAATATTTTTAAATTACACATAGGTCTTGCATTATGATGCTACTCTACAGCATTGCTTTAGAGAATGGAGTTGCTATGGTGGACCAGTTGTCTGAACACCTCCTGACTGAAGTTTTTTTACCATTTACCACATGTATCACATACTCTCCTAGCCTGAGGTTCTCATATATAGAATGAGAATTAAAAGGTTGTTGCGAGTATTGCATAAGATAGTTTATTTGAAGGAAACTAGCACAATTCCTGGCCTATAATAAACAAACACTTATTGACAACTACCATGTACTGTATTCTTGCTCTTCAAAAGGAGGAAAATAATTACAATGCAATACCAGTAGCCCTGGGGAAATCACAAAAAAGGAATGACTACACAGAGAACAACATCTGACCTGGATTTTTAAGGATTGAGTAGAGAGTCCCACACAGGTTCAGAAAAACTGTTTATTTCTCGCCCAGGCTGGAGCACAGTGCCATGCTCATGGTCACCGCAGCCTCAACCTGCTGGGCTCAGGCAATCCTTCCGCCTCAGCCTTTCCTTTTT